TTGAGGAAAGTGTTTATCTCATAACTCTCAGGTCACAATCCGTCACTGAGGGAAGTCAGGGCAGGAACCTGGAAGCAAGAACTGGAAGAGAGACCATAGAGGAGCATGGCTTACTGCTTGCTCCCCATGGCTTGCTCAGTCTGCTTTCTTATATAACGAAGGACCACCTGCACAGGGATGACACCCCCCGCAGTGGGCTGGGCCCTCCCACATCAATCATCAATCCAGAAAATGCCCTATAGATTTGCCTATAAGCCAGTCTTATGGAGGCATTTTCTCAATTGAAAGTCCTTCTTCCCAAATGACTCTAGCTTGGGTCAAGTTGACGTAAAAATAACCAAAACAAATGATATGGTGGATTGTTAAAAACTGAACATAAAGCCGGGCGGTGGTGGCGCACGCCTTTAATCCCAGCACTCGGGAGGCAGAGCCAGGTGGATCTCTGTGAGTTCGAGGCCAGCCTGGTCTCCAAAGCGAGTTCCAGGAAAGGCGCAAAGCTACACAGAGAAACCCTGTCTCGAAAAACCAAAAAAAAAAAAAAAAAAACTGAACATAAGCCAAGTGGTGGTGGCTCACGCCTTTAATCCCAGCTCTCCAGAGGCAGAGGCAGGTGGATCTCTGTGAGTTCGAGGCCAGCCTGGTCTACAGAGTGAGTTTCAGGACTACTCAAAGAAACCCTGACTCGGAAAAAAAAAAAATTGAACATGAAAACAATATGATCACATAATCCAGCAGTTCTACCTTTGAGGGTGCACCCAGAAAAGGTGAAAGCAGAATATCAAGGCAATTTGTGCACACCTGTTCACTGCAGCGTTACTCACAATAGTCAAGAGAAAGACAAAGGAAAACCACATGTCCATCGAGAGATAAATACAGTATGGTTGGTTCATATATAGGAAAAAATATCACTCAGCATTCAAAAGGAAGGAAAATTGGATGCATACTCCTCCATGAATGAGCCTCACAAACGTTCTACTAAGTGAAATAATCTAATCACAAAGAGACAAATACTGTTGATTCCACACATATGAAAAAAACCTAGAATCAGATTCACAGACACAGAGAGTAGAATAGTGCTTTCCGGGGCTACTAGAAAGGAAAACATGGGGGTTACTGTTTAATGGGTACAGAGTTTTGGAAAATGAAAAGGGCTTGGAGAGGGTGGTGGTAGTGGTTGTGCAATGCTTTGAATGCCTTAAAGCCATGGAACTGGACAGTTAGAAGTGCTTAAAAATTGTAAATTGTATATTGTGTGTGCAAACTATCTAGACCATGATCTTGACCTCATGGAATTATCTCCAGAATAAACCCACTTGCTTTCCTGAACTATTCATGAGGCACAAATGAAATCCACTGCATCTCATTCTGGCCACCCTCCTCTATTTCCAGTCTCCTCCAGTCGTATTTAACCCACAGGCTAGAGATCTCAGTACGACACTGATCTGTGAAGAACAGAAGGGCTCTGACACCTCCCTCAATATGGTTATAATCAGTTATCAGCTGGAGTTCCTCCTCGTCATTAAACATTAATTCCTGTGGAGTTAATATCCATCTAATGCCTCCTGTTCTTTGCTAATGTGCCTCTGCTAAAACTGTCCTTGCTTAGAACTCTCTCACAGACTGAAAAGAAAACTAAAGCTTATAAAACACAAGGTAATACAAAACGACAAGCCCAAGAACAAACAAATAAAAGGAATGAACTGGCACACGTAAATGTTCTAGCAATCCTGTTGGCCTGAGGTGTGGTGACTCGGGTGTTTAAGTGATGTCGAGAGGCCGCAACTCTTTCCTTCACCCAGCTCTTCTCGGCTGTTTTGTCTTCATTCTTCTTAGACGGGCTTTCTTCCCATCCGGAAGCTGACCGCAAGCCTCCCAATCCATGGGTGGTGAAATGGAGAGAGAGCAGCTCTCTCAACCATCCCAGCTAGATTATGTTTGCTTTTCACAAACTCTGATCGGGTCACAGCCCTCAATATGTCACCTTGGCCACGATGATGTTAATAGCTTTGTTCCAGGTCACATGCTGCGCCTGTAGATCAGGACGCAGTCAATGCACTGAAACAGCTGTTTGGCTGAGAGGGGAGTGTCGATGATCATCCGAGAGCATTCCGAGTAAAGCTAGCATCAGGGTGAAGGGAGGTTGATCAACAGGAAGGGCGGAGTCAGCCACCTTCCGATGAGTCCCGGTAGGCATTTTACAGATTCAGATATGTCACACATTAAATGTGATATTCAAATCCCTCTGACCAATTATTTTGGGGAATCCTAATTCTAGGAGGTAGTGTAGTTCCACATCGTGATGAAGATGTTGTCCTTCTCTTATCGCGCTGAGTCGTGAATGGCACGTGAACGTGTTATCATACAGCATACGGTCTATAAAAACCCACAGTTGAATCTGGTGTGATGCCATTCACCCGTAATCTCAGCACAGGGGAGACAGAGGTAGGAGGATCACCCATACATTTGAGACCAGTCTGATCTACATAATGAGTTCTAGACCAGTAAGGGCTACACAGTGATACCCTATCTCAAAACAAAAACAAACAACCAGCTCCATGGTTCTGTTGGCACCTTTAGCAGCTCCCTGACTCAGTGGGCTCCTCCTTCCAAGGTACCATATTAGCATCTTTGAATGTATAGCTGAAAGTAGGTTCATCTTTTAAGTTGGGGCCCTAGTTCTTATGCCCAGAGACACTGGGAGTCATGGTAACAAAATTCCAGACTTATGTGAGGATTCGTAATGGATTCTAAGCAATAGATGACTTCTTAATAGCTATCATCAACAAGAGCCCCTTTTAAACATATGTCTCAGACATCTAATGCTGTCTAAATAAGCCAAAATTTTTAAGTGGAGCAAAAACTATAAAATGTTTACTAGCCGGGCGGTGGTGGCGCACGCCTTGAATCACAGTACTCAGGAGGCAGAGGCAGGCGGATCTTTGTGAGTTTGAGGCCAGCCTGGTCTACAGAGCGAGATCCAGGAAAGGCGCAAAGCTACACAGAGAAACCCTGTCTCTGAAAAACAAAACAACAACAACAAAAAAAAATGTTTACTAAATGCCAGGCTGTTCCTAGGCACACAGGATTAATATTAACACAGTGTCACCCTATACAACTTTCTAAAGGAAGTGATTGTCAATGTCATCAAGATCACTTCCATTTTACAGATAAGGAAACTAAGCCAGGTGAGGGTGACAGACCCACATTTGCACACAGCTGGTTAGCACAAGCATGGCTTGTACCAATGGTATCTGGCTCCAAAGTCATCAAACCAACCATACACGTCCCAGACACCCTTCACTTGGCATGCAAATGAGCAGAGGAGCCTGCTTCAAAAGACAAAACACAAAACCAAACCTGGACCAGTTAGAAAGCAGTCGCTCACTTTACAAAACAATGCTGTCATAAGCAAGCCGTTCTCAGTAACAAGCTTGCCCTGGAACTGGGTAACTGGTTAAAAATCATTAATGGTTTCTCAGAAATACTGGGACAGAGAAACCAAACCAAAACTTTATTCTCATGCCAGCTAAAGTTCAAAGAACTGAAAAGCCAAACTTGAGCCTCGAGTCCACATTGGGAGAAAACACAACTTTAAAACTGGTGGGATATTCTTTCTCTGAACATCAGTTACACTTGGAGAACTGTAAGAGAGGGGCTTGGCACAGCTTCCCTCCAGGGGTCTCCACAGGAGAACTTGCTTCCTAGCCTTCTCTGTGCATCGTGGACTCACCTGGTCGTCTGTTGTCACCCTCTGCAGTAAAATCTGTTGAATCAATTCTTCACAAAAGTGCAGGGGTAAACAGGTGGCTACCGTATTTAAAGCAGTTTCATACAACCCTAGTTCTTCTAGAAATAGCATCTATGCAAACCCAGGTGGTTGAAAATGAACAGACTTAGCCAGGCGGTCATAACACACGCCTTTAATCCCAACACTTGGGAGGAAGAGGCAGGTGGATCTCTGAGTTCCAGGCCAGCCTGTTCTACAGAGTGAGATCCAGGACAGCCAGGGCTACACAGAGAAATCTTGTCTTGAAAATAAAAGAAAGAAAGAAAAGAAAAGGAACAGGCTTTAAGGAAAGGACCAAAATGCAAGATGAGGCAAAAGGTCCAAATACAAATGCAATAGATGGAGACCAGCGAAGAGCAATCACCCAAATTAACAGCTGAAGGACAATGGTGGTGGATAGGTTATGAGGGGCTAAGTGAGAGCCAGCTCCACACGAGAAAAGTTGGCTGAGGAAAGGATAGCCCCATCTTCCCCTTTCCCAGGCTGCCAGTGCCTCCCATGTGCAGCAAGAGGGTAAGGGCATCTGGAGATAGAGTCAGCAAAGATCAGGACAGGAAAAGGTGTGGAGCATCTCTGGAAGAGAAAGAAGGAGGAGCATAATGCTTCTCCCAAAGACCGGTGAACCGAGCCCCATGGGCCGGTGGATGTAGCTCAGCTAGTAGAAGGTTTACCTAGCAAGCACGTGCTTTCAATCCCCAACAAGTGCATAAAACCAGGCATGGTAATCCATATCTGCAATGCCAACACTCAAGAGGTGGGTGTAAGAGGATCAGAAATCCAACCTCAGCTATATAGAAAATTCAAGGCCAACCTGGGCAACACGAGACCCTGCCTCTAAACAAGAAACCAAAGAGAGACCATGTAGCATGTTTCAGGTCTTGAAGAGTAGACTGGAAGCAAGAGGAGGGCCTTCTTCCCTCTCAGCTCTCTCTAATTTTGGGAAACCCAAATGCCTGAAGAGTCAGAATGCATCAATGAGCGTCTAGTCCCAAGGCTTCTTGTCAACACACGGCGGTGTAGCAAATGGCCCACAGCGGGCCACTTATCCTCAGAAGTGTCCAGGGAGTATGTGGTCAGGCTGACTCAGCCTCTGCCTGGATGCACTGGGGTGGGAGGGTTAGTGAATCACTTGCGTGGGTGACAGTTTGGACTGTGTTATTCTTTGAGTGAATTCACTCCACACACTAACTGAGTGTCTGTTTGATTTGCAAAGGTGACTCATCTGAGGAAGTCGACTTGACCATGGTGTATCAGGCAGCATCTAATGGAGATGTCAACGCTCTGACTGCCGTGATTCGAGAGGACCCTTCTATCCTGGAATGCTGTGACAGTGAAGGTGGGCTGTTTGTGCATTTTTAAATCCAGGCTGCAATGCTTTATCTTCTCAGAGATGGTCTTTTGAGATGAGCAACACTCTTGAAATTCTTTTGGACTGGCCACGTGGTACTGAAGGTTATCTTGTCTGTGGCCCATGTAGCATCCTTTGGCATTTCTCTACACATAGGTGTTGGACACAGACCTTCAGCATCTTACTTCACTTCTTATTATGGGTGGTTTGTTTCCAGTATTTTTGTAGGAATGACCAAGTAGTTGTATGTGTGTGCACATGCTTGTGGAAGCCAGAAGTCAACCTCAGGTGTCACTCCTAAGGTACCATCCACTTTATTTTTGAGACAGGGCTTCTCACTAGAATTTGGAACTTACCCAATATCCTAAACTGACTGGCCAGTGAGCCCCAAGTATCTGCCTGTCTTTATCTTCCCAGGGCTAAGATTACAAGCACAAAACATCACATCTGGTTTTCTTAAGCATGTTTCAGGAACCCTACTCAGATCCTCATGATTGCACAACAAGGTCTTTGGAGACTGAATCCTCTCTCTCTGGTCACCTGTAGTTATAACAAGTGTCTAGAAAGAGATGGTTACTTTAGCAGAAATGGATGTTGGGGAAATGTAACTATCATAGTCCTTCAGACCAGAGAACTTGACTCTCGGAAAGACAGCATGGTTGTACTTCCCCCTATATTATTTCTAAATACAACTACAAACTCTGGATATGATGAAAAATAACTCTGGAAAACAAAGAGAAAATGACAGATTGGCTAAGTCCTGGGATCTGAGGATTGGCATGGTGGAGAGTTCTCTGGATTATCTTTTTGCCTTGTATATCCCAGGGTTGGTGTTGAAGGAGATGTTCAACACAGGATGCCAACAGACATGGACAAAAGAAAAGCCCCTGAAAATTTGCATTCTCTAGGCAGAACACCAGGATTAACAGTATGAAAGAACTGCTAAGAAGAAACTCTATATACTAATGCATGGCCCCACAGAGAGGGAATCCCTCCATCACTGGTCCTGTCAGGAATAAACCAAGGACATGAACATGCTACAGTGAACACCAGGAGTATGCACAATTAACAGCTGTTAATAAACAATTTTAATGTAAGCTACCATAAATTCCTCTAGTAGGAAACAGACAATTTTAATATTACTATAACTATTTAGGAAATTAAATTCATAATTTAAAAATTCCTAAAGAGGAGTACATTCAGCCCTAGATGGTCTTACTGATTTCTACAATTCATTTATTTGTCTGTTATTTGGATTTATTTTATGTGTATGAGTGTTTTTACTGAATGGGCATCATGGGCATGCTTGGTGCCCCAGGTTAGAAGAGGGTGTCAGATCTTCTGAAACTGGAGTGACAGAGAGGATTGTGAGCGACCATTTGGGTCCTGGGAGCCAAACTCAGGTCCTCTGGAAGAGCAACAAGTGTTCTTAATCACTGAGCTATCTCTCTAGCCCCTCTACAAATGTTTAAAGAATAATTAGCACTAATTTTATATGATTTATTTCAAAAAGAGAAAAGAAGGAAATACTTCTTAGCTGCTGTATTTATTAACTAGAATTACATTGACATCAATACCAGATAAAGATAATATTTTAAATCCCTGCATATATCAACTGTCCTCATGAATATAAATGCAAAAGAAGAAATAAAGTCTCCCAAACTAGCTGGTTAAAGAAGAAAAATCATATAATCATATTAATTGGTACAGAAGCATTTGATGAAATTCAATATACATCCATAATTTTAAAGATCAGAAAACAGAAATGGAGAGGAGCTGTCTCAATGTGACAAAACAAAGTCAGGCATAGTGATGTAAGCCTGCAATCCTGTGTCTTGGAAAGCTAAAGTACAAGGTTATGCAGAGCAACTTAGCAAACTTCCATCTCTGATTTCCTTTCCTAAGATTATCTTCAAACAGTCTTGAATAGTGGCTAAGTGTCTTAGCCAAAACCCACAGCTAATAAAAGAACAAGAGCTGGAACCCAAGCGTTCTAGTGCCTAGATAGGTGCTCAGTCCTGAGGCAGAGGCCATAAAGCTCCACATGAGAGGCCGAGGTGGTAAGGCTACACTTCCTGGGGAGCCGGGGTGGGGTGGGGGGGGATCTCATACTATTTGTTAAAGTATAAACTTGGACAGCTATTTGGGTAATAAAATTGGCAATATTTAACAAATGTCAAGATGTTTGTACCTGTGACCAAGTAATTCTACTTCTGGGCATATTTCTGGGAAACTTTGGTACTGATGAACAAAGATGAGTAATGAAAGTTGATCTACTTGGGAATGGCGTAAGTGAACAGCAGTATGGACGGCTAGCCTGGGCTTCCTGAGCTGTGTCGTGAGGCCCCTTATTAATGATGAGAAGGAGGAGGAGAAGGATGATGATGATGATGATCACAAAAATGATGATGCTGCTCTTGGTTTAAAATTCTTGACCACACAGGGCATTTATTCTTTTAGTAATTATCACTAACTTAATACGCAGCAAGTAGTTTCCAGTGTCATATAAATGTGTATCCCCTGACTAACTGTGAAATCATCTTCCGTATGTTTGTTTAGTTTGTGTTTGTTCTCTTGGGAATTGCTTGTATACGTATATTTCCTTTTCCTTCTTAGATTGTTGTGCCTTTCTGGTTGAACTGTTATTTAGTTAACCTAGCAATCTTTTAATTTGACAAATTAAAATAACTTTTCCTGCTAGGTATGGCAGAACAGACATGTAATCCCCGCAGTCAAGAAGTTGAGGCAGGCAGATCACTAGTTCAAGGCCAGCCTAGGTTACATGTTAAGAGCATGTCTCAAAAAAAAAAAAGATACTTAATTAACTAAAAATTGAAAACAAAAAAATTCTGCCGGTATATACCACGTCTTTGAATTCTGATTGATAATATGTACTATGGAAAATTTTAATTTATATAATTGAATTTAACAAGATATTTCCTCCAAATTTTTAGCTTTTCCTTCTTCTACAAGTCCTGAAGATTATAAGAACATGAGTGAATATTTTCTTTTCAGACTGTTACATTTTGCTTGTTACATCTCATCTCTTATCCATCTGGATTGTGTTCATGGGTGGTAGGGAGTCTGGTGGCATTTGAATTTGGCCTCTCATGCAGCCAATTTGTCAATAAATATTTATTAAATAACCTCTGTCCTCTCCACCAATGTACACTGTCACCTAAATTATACAATAAGCCCATGCAAGTCTGAGTGTTTCCTGGACTCTCTAAACTGTTGAGCTATTCCTTGTTTTAGTTATCATAATTTTATAATAAATCTTATCTGTTAATAACATAATTTTCTGTTCTTTGTTCTCTGAAGAAATTTATATAGAAAGTACAATCTCAGGATTGATATAAACTAGTCAGACAGAGCATGTAATTTTATGAAAATAGTATGCAAAAATTAATTTGCTTGAATACCTCAGATTCACAAATTGTTTCATTTTCTTGTTCATTATGTCCTTTCTTTCCCCTCTGATGGTCATAACCACCACTTTCGTTTTTTTCTAGTTTTTATTTCTTTATTTTTGGTTTTTCCAGACAAGGTTTCTCTGTGTAGCCCTGGCTGTCCTGGAATTCACTCTGTAGACCAGGCTGGCCTTGAACTCAGAGATCTGCCTGCCTCTGCTTGTAACTATATGATAGGAAGGAAGTGAGGGAGGAAGTAAGGGAAAGAAGAAGGGAGAAGGGAAGTGGGGAGGGAGGGAGGAAGAGATGAGGGCGGGGTAAGGAGGAAAGGAGAAAGAAGGAAGGAGAAAGGAAGAAGAGAGGAAAATCTCACCACTCATTGTTCTAAGAATCACTTTATTGCTGCTTTACCCAGAAAGAATGTCTGAAAAGGATCTCAGGAAGGAGGACTGCTGGGTGGTCAGCTGCCGTGTTCCGTGAGAACAGCAGTCTGGAGATTCATCCCTTCTCCTAGATCTCTGCAGACCACAGCTGGGTTCATCCCAGGGAGAGTCCTAATCTCAACATGGGTCTCCAGCTCAACAGAATCTAAGCACGTGCCAGTTCTGGATCTAAGCTTGGTCTTTTGGATGGAGGAACTTGACATTCCTTGCTTGTTCCAACAGCCCCAAAAAGTTAGACAAAATGTGTCCATTCATCTCTATTTTTATTCAGAAAGAAAACACACTGGAAAACAAAACGCCTTTGGCTGCATTGATTCAGAAAGAGAGGAATTCAGTGAGGTGGATGCTGAAAATTTGTGTAGCCCAAGGCTGTCACCCAGCTTTACCACCCACTACCTCCCAAAGTGTGTTGAACCTGTTTGCCAGGGTGGACCAAAAGCCGTTCTGGATTCTGTACTACATCAGTTCAGTCGGGATAAACCTACCTGGTAGATCCGGAGTTAGTCACATCCCCGAGGCAACAGCAGCCAGTTTTGGTCATCTGCCCAAAGTGTTTTAATCCACCGACTATTACAGACACCTGGGCAGGAGGAGAGGGGAGGATTACAGTCAACTGAGGTGGGGGAGGTTGGCCAGAAACCCAACACTTATGCAAACAGAAGCGATCATCTTCATCTTCATCTCTTCAGCCCCACGGAATCCAGCAGCTGGAGTTATGCTGCAGGAAAGCAAACTAAACGAACAGACAAATGGTCTGCTCATAAATCTCAGAAGTTAAACATTCGTAAGGGCTGTTGAAATGTCTCATTCCAGGATGCACGCCCTTGATGCATGCGGTTTCTGGCCGTCAAGTGGACACGGTGAAACTGCTCTTGAAGATGGGCGCCAACATTAATACCCAGGATGCCTATGGCCGCACCAGTTTATGCCTGGCAACGTACCTGGTACGAATTTATGTTTGTTAATGGGGCTACAGAGCAAGGGACTAAAGATGTCATGGGGATTTGACTCACAGAATGGTGCCCGTGGGCTGATGCAGTAGGCCATGGAGAGTAGGACTTTGGACTTCACTCATTACCCTCAAAGTTTGAGTGGATCCTTCACAAGCTAAGGTAGAGGTGGTGTGACCACCAGGGAAATGTTCTTGTCTATCTCAGCATTAGAATTTCACTTGGGACATTTCTGGCTCTTCTGGGTATTTCTAAGAAGGCTGCCATAAATAACCCCCAGAGGGTGGTACTGTTTTGAAGATCCAGTTAACGTCCATGGGGTGGGATTAGATGGAGATTAGCTGAGTGGAAGTTCCAGGCTGAAGAATGTGAGAAACGATGAGAACTGGGAAGAGTGGGAGGACCAGGGCGTAGGGGACATGCCAGGATCTCACAGGGCAACACCAAGTGAAGGACTCGGTTCAGAGCTAGTGCTCACATTAGAAACTGTAAAGCCATTCCTCATAGTCAGGATTTCAGTTCAGTGTTGCCCAACACTGAAGCAAGGCTTGGTTGAGACTCTGAAAATCCTCTCGCCCTCTCCTCTCAGATGCTCTTTGTGATCCTTCTGGACTCTCCCTGGGCTGGCTTAAGTCTATGTGAAGCAAGCCCTACCCACCACATGGGGGACACTTTATTGTTTTTCTTCTTTTCCAGCAACGCGGCCACTCTTCTCTCACATCTGCTGCCTCTTGGGTTCACTGCTGCTGCCAGTTGGTAGTGGCGGATTCACCCCGAGCAGGCCCCCTAGGGTGCCCCACTGAAATAAACACTTCCCTTCTCCAAACACACCATCCCTTCCTGCCACAGTTCACAGAGCCCGCAATGATGCATTGCTCAATTCCCACAGAGATTTTCTTCAAAGGCCATGTTTTCATTTTTTTTTTCTTTGCATACTCTTTCTCTAGGACCCACAAACAAATCTAGGCATGATATTTTTGAAGTGTGGTCCACAGGCCTCTTGGATCAATATCCCTTAGAGGTCTTGTTTGAAAGGCGGGTTCTGAGATAGATACTCCTTGGATAGCATGGGGGCAGGGGAGGAAGGGAGTCTGCTGGATAAACTAACCTCCCTGGAAACTTCTGTGTCCACCTGAGTTTGAAGAGCACTGCTCTGCATGGGCTAGCTGAGCGAGGCTCCCTAGCTCAGACGTATGACCACCTTCTCAGTCACCTCCCTTATAGCGCCTGCCATCATAACTGCTCTTGCTACAAACTTTTTTCAAGTCTGAGCAAACGTCTAGATTAAGGAGCTGAGGAAAAGGGGTGGAAATGGCCTCTGAAGCTGACTGTCACTAGATTCAATAAAATGGTGGCAACAAATTGTATGTCTCTTAGAACTCTAAAATTCAAAATTTGAAAGGACTGGAAAGAGTGCTCCTCCAAACATCAATTATGAGGGGCAACTTGGATCATAGAGAGGCGACACTTTTCAGGCAGCTCTTCCCAGTCTAAAGGGCTGCATGAGGGAAGTAGTAACACGACACCAGGTAGGATGGCCGTCTTAACTGTGCCTGGCCTCTGTGTGAGTCCCCTAGTCTGGACGCATCCCCTGGATGCTGGCGCTCTGGGAAGAGGAGCATTCTGAGGGTCACTGTGAAATCCAGCCGTGTCTAGATTTGATCATTAAGAGAAGTTTGGCAAAAGAGGCCCTTAGAACGGAGTCTCAACTCAGGGTTCAAATAAATTTGTAGACAAGTTTGTAGACATGTGACCTTGGGCAAATTGCTTCACCCTTTTGTGCCTCTATCTTTATTTTTGAGGTAAAGTAAAAACAGTAACCTAAGCTTATCACACCTGTCGGAAAAGCTGAGGTCAACTAGCACCTAGTAGGTATGATGCTCATTCGTTGCTTCCAAATGATATCAAGGGTTTCAAATATCTTCACTGATTTTCAAATTTCTTTTCTGAAGAAGAAGGGAAAAAAAAAAAAGAATGAAGAAAACCACACACACACACATTGAGTTCCAGGAAACATTGCAAAATATTTTAGATGTTTCAAAGCTTATCCCATCAAAAGATCTGCTTTTTTCAAAAACCATATTTAAATCTTGGGCAATTCTGAAGTCTGCACAGCATGCCTTGCTTTTGGGTCCCCTGATCAATTTTTATTTTTCCTTTTAAGCAGAGAACTTGATGACTTGGACATTAGCAATTAGAAACAGATTTACTACATTAGTAAACTATGAGTCAATACTGACAAGGCCCCCCTCAAATATTTGTTTCTACTTAAGACAGATATTGCTGGCCAATTCTATAGAGCCCTACTTGATACCATAGGCCATGAAATTTTTTAGTTTTGATTTTTATGACAGGGTCTCATGTAGTTCAGGCTAGCCCCAAAGTCACTATATATCAGAGGATGACCCTTAACTCCTGATCCTCTTGCTGATAGCCTCCCAAATTCTGGGATTTGCATCTCCATGCAAATGTGTTTCTTGTTTGATGGACAAAACTAGACTGTCAACTGTTGTCTAGACTCTTCAAAACCACAAGGTTCTGTTCATATTATTATTTTCTTTCTTCAATAAGTTTATTAACGCCTTAGGTTTTGCTGCTTCCAATACTGTCATCCTAAGGGAGAGAATCTTCAGTCATTTTACTGGGACATCTTGAGGCTGGACTATGTACACTCGGAGGAAGGCTAAAAACTGCTTTTGAATAGATCGTTATCACACCAATGTGCTCAATATGAGTTTTATCTATTTGTTTGTCTGTTTATAAGTAGCTGAGTAGCCCAAGAATTGTAGATAAATGTAGAAGACCTTTTACTTAGCAATGAGAACCAAGCTTGGTTATCAGCTAGGTTGGGTCAGCTACAGAAGTGTAAATTTAGAAAGCAGTGTAAATATGGGCAGGACTAGCCTCAGGCTACTAATGTCCTTTAACGTAAGATAGAAAACATGACCCAGCTGGACCGACATGCTAGCCAGCAAGGTGATAATATCAAATTTCAATGAGTAAAATTAGGGTGCAGGAAATTCACACAGCCTCCTAAGAAATATGTAGGTGTGTAAAGCCTTGTATTGTGTATCCCTTGGAGAATGTTAGTTTGCCTTCACCTTAGAGATACAGGGTGTCATCATTAGAGCCACAGAGTACCAGCATTAGAGTCACAGACAGCTATTGGCAGGGTGTGTGGATTTTGTATCTAAGCACTTTACTGAGACTGACGCAAATAAGCACGATGCTATCCTTCAGGTTATCAGAAACAGGATGTGAGCTAATGGAGAAGCAAGACCTCCACTTTAGACATGGGAAACAGGCTAAGCATACAGGCTGGCACTCAGAAGTGGGCTAGGAATCTAGCTTTTAGAAGTGGATGTTGCCACCCAAGTCAGACAGGTGCTATGTATTATTTGGAGCTAAGCCACATGCCAGAGCAGGCGACCACTCCCTGCCAGATGCTATCTTTGGGGTAGCCTAGTTGTAGCAGTTGAATCGCAGTGAGTGGTCCTGGAAATGGAAGGGAGAGGCAAGAGAGCATCTGCCCCAGTCTGTATGGGAGAGGGCAACGATCATACAGAAAACCTGGGACGTTGAAGCTCGGACTTCAGCTCTCTGCTGAGGTGCTGGAGATGGAACCACATGTGGTCTTTAAATGGTTTCAACTTAAACAAGCTGTTAGCCAAACCAAAGAAGCAAAGAAGTGGCCAAAACAGCAACAAAACACACACACACACACACACACACACACACACACACACACACACACACACACACACACACACTATAGATAGCTTCTTGACCTGTGTTACATGAGGCTGTGTTATATAATGATGCGATGGCTGTTGCCTTTCAGGGCTGGCTTGAAGGCTGTGTGAGCCTGCTCAGAAACGGTGCCAAACACAACATCCCCGATAAAAATGGCCGCCTGCCACTGCATGCTGCCACTGCGGAGCCCGACGTGAGGTAAGCAACATATAATATGCCAGATGGGAAAGACCCAGCTTGCATGAGAAAGGCATGGACTCCACCCCCCTGTGACAGATAAGACTGAAACGCAGATAGGACCTCAACACAATGCTCTAGAGCCGTCTTAAACTCCAATCTTACTCCCCTCTTATTTCAATGAAATGCTTTCCTCATAGTCTTTTATTCTAGGAGAAAGGCTACATCATTTTCATCATTGGAATCCATAAATTCATCCATTCATTCTAAGAGTCAGTTAGTAACTCAGTAACGATTATTGGGACTTTATTACAAACCAGGCAGAGTTTTCCCTAACAACGCCACAGTGAACAAGACAGTCTCTGATGTCCCGGAGCTGACGGTGTCATGAAGGAATCAAGTGACTCACTAGCAAATAAAGCCACAAGATACTTTCCAATAATGACAAGTGCTTTGCAGAAAATCATAGAAGCTAAAACAGCCGTGACATGTCAGTAGGGTTAATGTCCAACTGGAGTCTAGAGTCTACAGCTAGAGTCCAGGAGTTGAGGAGGTACAGGAGCCTGAGGCAGAAGTCCAGGGCAGTAGCTGGAAAACCAGGGCGGTACACACATGGAGCCCATGTGAAGAGATTGACTCAAAGAAAGTCAATGATTGAGGAGGTCACAATTTGGTAAGACAATTGAGAAACCAAGCGGAAACATTTGCCCAGTCCGGTGAGTTCCTCATTCCTCAATGTCGAATTGGCCTCTGTCTCCATCATTTTAAAAGACCCTGCAGCAACTGATGGTAACATTTCCTACTACAAACACCAATGTTGCCGCTTGGCTCTTCCTTCATGCTCTGTTGCCTACAACAGACCTTTAATAGTGATTGAACATCTCCCAGTCCTAGGCCCCGGGCAGCAGCACAGGGGTGGGGGATGGGGGGTGGGGGGGGATATGCTGTTTGCCTCACCCTCAGCACCCAGGACCAGAATGGAGACCTGAAGCTCTGTGGGTCTGAAGAGGTGAAGACTTTCTCCAGGCAGAGGGGATAACAGGATTGCTTCATCTCAGTCACTTTTATAGAAAGGGCTTGGGAAACCCCAGGACTATCCCTGAGGCTTGCTGACTTGCTATCTTGGACTATATCCAGAAATAACAGAATTTACCCCAAGCCTGATACAGCAAGGAAAGCTGGAAATGAAAGAGCAAACCCAGACCATTAACTATCAGTAAACATCCTAGGTAAGGAGACGGTCTGTTTTCAGAAAAGGAAAAGGGAGGGGAGGGAAGGAGGCGGGAGAGGAGAGGGGGAAGGAAAGACTTTTTTTTTAGACAGCTGGCACAAATATTTAGTTACAAAAGTAAACTGTTTCTGCAAGACTCATCTTGAGAAAATCAGTTTAAAAAGCATACCTTGTAAGAATTATTCTACCTGGATTACTGAACTTAACTGACTTTTATCTGCTTCTCTTGAGTAATTTTAAAAGCTACTTATTCTGGAAGATAAATGCCTACTTGAGTTATGGTAATTATGGTTGGTTATTGCAGTAAATGAAACCCAAAGCTTGGGTGCCCCACAGTCAATTTTACTTCTCAGACATATCACAGTCCCAGTGTCAGTGTTGCTGGGTGATGGCTGCCTCCCCTCCACATGGCGATTCAGAGACCCGAGCAGCTCCCATCTTGTAACTAGCATCCTGAATGATCACAGAATGTCCCTTACTTGGCCTGGTAACGGGCAAAGAGGAGCACAGAGATGCCTTGTTCATTCTTACAAAACCTCAGGCAAACATCACCGTTCACGTCTGTTCTCTTTCCATTAATAAGAACTAGTCATGTGCATACACTTGAATAGAACAAACCTCAGGAAACACAGTCCTGGGTGGAGGATCTACCTGCCTTTCATGATTGATTCCAAGCCATAAATGGGGAAGCCAGGTTTGGATGAGATTTGTAGAGACACCTGAGGTATGAATTAAGTCTTTTCAATCAAAATTACACAGGTCAGCTAGGTTCAACCTCTGAAATGATTAGTTCAAAATCAATCCAAGTGTGTGTCCTCTTCCATGTACTTTTTTTTTCTTTTTTGTTTTTGTTTTGTTTTGGTTTTGGGTTTTGTTTTTTTTTTTCAAGGTGAGGTTTCTCTGTGTTTCTCTGACTGTCCTGGAAATTACTCTGTAGACCAGGCTGGCCTTGAACTCAGAGATTCACCTGTCTCTACCCCACCTGCACCCCAAGTGCTGGGATGAAAGGTGTGAGCCACCACCACCCACTCTGTGGACTTACTTTATATAGCAGTGTCTCTGGACACTCTAGGATCCATCCCACATAGCTGGAACTTTGAAAGCAAAGAGTTGGGGCTTCCTCTTCTCTGGATGTTATACCTAATGGCCTAGCCGAATCCTCTGGTGAGTTGAACCCAGAAAAGTAAACATGCTTCTGTGTGTCAAAGATAACAGTTTTCTTCTTGAAAATGGGTAGATGATTCTAAATGGTAAAATTCTACTTTAGTTGAATGCTACTCAATTAATGAAAACTGAAGCTGTGATGAACTATTTTGAAAGCAATATTTTCTATTAGTGAATCTTCTTCAAAATGGATTGGGTCAAACCCTTAACAACCATAGACAACAAATTAGTTAGTAGAATTAACTGCAGACTCTCTGGGAAGCAGTTTGTCCTAAAGGCTTCCTTCTAAGAGTAAATTGATTTTAAAATAAAGGTATTTTGTGGTTGTTATACAAGAAAATTTATGGCAGAGTTCCATCCGCATTAGGTCTTTGAAGAAGCTAAGGAAGCCATGCTTTGTCACAGCATTGGGATGAACCGTATTTGAGCATCATCAGATACTTGACTTGCTTTCTGAGAAAACAGACTGTCTTAGTTATGGTTTCTATTGCTGTGAAGAGACACCCTGACCACAGCAACTTTTATAAGGAAAACATTTAATTGAGGTGGTGGCTTACAGTTTCAGAGGTTCAGTCCATTATCATCATGACAGGGAGCATGGCGGTGTGCAGGCAGATGTGGTGCTGGCCACACTTCCCAATAGAGCTATTCTCTATGAGCCTTTGGGGGCTAATTACATTCAAACTACCACATAGACTTGGTCTGGTTTTGTAGGCATCTTTCAACATTGCAACTGCTATGAGAACCAGAGAGTCTCTCCCATTAGGCACATGAGCCTAGTTTCTTAGTTGGACACAACCTTTAAAAAAAATTCATTTCTTTACTTGGTGTGTGTACGTATGTGTGAGTGTACACCACGGCATACATGTGAAGTCAGAGGATAGCTTACAGAAGTTAGTTCTCTCCTTCACCCTCGTGAGTTCCAGGAATCAAACTTAGGTCCTCAGACTTGGAAGGAAGCATGTTTACCCAATGAGTCGTCTTCACCAGCTCATACATAGGTATAACTTTAGACTGGCCTAGCAAATGTTTAGGTCTGAATTAAACTAATAGCAAATATTGACAATGAGGAAGAAGAGGAAGATGATGTTGATGATAAGGAGGACGGTATTTTTTTTTATTTTTGTTTTTAATTTTAGTTTTTTTGAGACAGGATTTCTCTGTGTACTCCTAGTTGTCCTGGAACTCACTCTGTATAGCAGGCTAGCCTTGAACTCAGAGATGCCCTGCCTCTGCCTCCCGAGTGCAGGGATTAAAGTGTGTAACACCACTGCCCAGTGGATATCAGTTATTATAAGTAGTGCTCTGAACAAAATCCTTAGTGCTTCGTAGGTCCTGTCCCATTTAATATACCACTCTTCTATACAATATATTTTATCCTCACCTCACAGAAGAGAAACTGAGGCAAGTGGAAGCTAACTAACTGATGCATACATGAAGAAAACCTGCCTGATGGGTCTGCTGCCTCCCTGAGAGACACTCTTGCGGGCCTTGCAGAGTTTACTGCAATGATCACGTTTTATCAATAAGCCCTTGGCCTGTGTCTCCGGGCCTTATGAGAAACAGCCTTACAAAATTTACTGGCCCGAGATCAGGTCATATTTTATTCATGACAACATCTTTTAAAATCCTATATAAGAAACCACAGAAAAGAAGTTTCACTAAGAGAGGGATTGCTCTGCTTCTCCAGAGAAAATAATTGGAATTGGTATTATAGCAACACTGTGGTTTATTATCCCGTGTCTCGCTTTCTGTGCTTAGAAAATTCAAGACTCAGTTTGAAACCCACCTCCGGCACACACACACAGGACTGTACATCATGTCCTCCATCTTCTTCCCTTGTTTTCTCTGGCTAATTGCTTCACTCACCTTGTTTTTATTCATGTAACCAAAACCCACTTAAAATCCTTGTTGGGTTGAATGAGGTCAGAAGTGGCTGGGAGTCGGACCAAACTTGAACCTGGCCTTATCTGACCAACCACTTTGTCTTGGACAAGTTCCTATGTGAAGGCCCAGATAAGTTTCTTTTCTCGAAAGTAAAGAGAATGCAATTCTCCCCTTAATAAGAAGATAGGCCGAAATAGAGGGAAACATATTAAAGCCACTGAACATGGTGCCTACTGAGTGCATTGTGTTCAGAAAGCATTAATGGTGAGTATGATATTAATGGTGATAGTAGAAAGTAGACAACATGAATACCACATGCTGGCATTAAAGACCCACTGATTGCCACCCTGCCAGTTGCCACCTTGGCACACACCAGTCCGCAAAGGGTGTGTACAAGCACACAACTATTTGTGCACACAGCCCTGTGGCAGCATGCAATACCCATTTATTGCAAAGGATGCTGGGATAGGAACACTCACTTCCCTTTGTGTAGACTCAAGGGAACTTCCAAATCTCAAGCCATTCAGTTCCCCAGAGACTCTCTTTGCAACTTTCGTGAGCACAGGTCCATCTGTGTTTTCTTCATATTAGTAAGCAGAAGGAACAGCCACCTGGAGGCCTTGTGAAAAGGTGTTTACACTAGCTTAGAAATCTGCTGACCCTCAGGTTTCCAAACAGGGAGCTTCACCCACGGGACACTCACTGGAGGTTATTGAGAGGGAAGCCTCCGACTGAAGTT